GATGCTTTCGATATTCCTCCCACTGTTGCGAGACTGTGAAAGGTGAGAGTCTCAGACCCCAAAGAGCAGGTCTTCCCTGTCCTATCTGCTTGCTCTGATTCTGAGCCGTGGTTTTGTTTTGGGGGTTCACCTTGAGGAACGGCCAGCTCTTTCTACGGTGGCACCACGGGAGGGTGGGTTAAAATACAAACCTCTAGGTTAGTAGACGAGGCTCCACAGAGACGGTCCCAAAGCGGGTGCTCCATTGGCCAGCCCACTCCCACTCTGTCCCACAGCCCACCCCCACAGTAAAAAAAGCCAGGATGTAAACTAGAAGAAAAAGGGGGGCCAGCCTACAAAGTGGAGGGACAGTTAAGACCAATGGATGACGAGAGATGCTTTGGACAGAAAGATGCTTTTGAGGGACCGACAGCTTGCTCAGTCGAAGGAAAACCACTGCCTCTGGACAGGCCACACCCTCCCCTGCTTCCGACCAGGCCAGACCTCCCTTGCCATGTTGGTCCAGCGCACAGGGCTCACCCTCCCAAACAGGATCTCCTGAGCCTCACAAAAAGCCAAGATGCACTTGGATGTAGTCTCCAGTGAATCCCCTCTGACCACAGTCGGGGGACTATAAATTCCCTGGTATTATACAGAACAGGAGGACAATGGGCCTTTCTACTCCCTAGTCTGGGAAACACTCAGGGGCAGTTCTACCCTGCCCCCTAGGGTCACTGTGCATCTGTGTTGCCCGAAGGCCGTGAGTTTATCAGACAGGGAGTGTTGTCCAGTCTGTTGTGGCAGATGTGGCTAGGTTCAAAGGTAATACCCTATCATTCGATCTCCCGTTTGACCTATTTTACAGTTGTTTCCATTTTTAATATTTTCTCTTTGATTGAGGTTTTCCTATGCTTTGTCTAGACATTGCTCTTGGTTTTGTTCGTATGTATTTATATGACTGTGCTTCCTTGTGTGTGAGTTTCCAGATGTGAAGTCCAGGATAGGTAGATCTGTAGAGAAAGTAATGGTATAGGGGCATGGCAGGGGGGTCCGTTGGGGGAGAGCTAACAATCTATATGGGAAGAAATGTTCTGAAATTGATTGTGGCGATGACTGCATTCAAAGTTTCTCGCTGCCATTGTGTCAATGCTGGCTCAGAGTGACCCTCCAGGAGCGAGTAGAACTTCCCCCAACCCACCCTGGGTTTCTAAGACTGTAACTTTTTACTGCAAAGGAACACCTCTCCTTTCTCCCCAAAGAGCCGGAAGGTGGTTTCGAATGGCTGGCCTTGGGGATCACAGCCCAACTCGTTACCTACTATGCCAGCGGGGCTCCTGATAATGGCACCTATCTTCTTAATGGGATTGAATGATTAAATTGTTTGATGGGTGAAGTATATGCCAATAAATTTTTTTTTCTTTAAAAAAAGACAAGACGTCACTCTGAGCTCTGAGGTGGGCCTGAGTCAAGCCCCTGTCTTTGCAACCCTCACCTCCCATGCTGGACAGTCAAAGGAAGCTCACCGCAGAAGAATGGACGTCTTTGAGAGACGGTGCTGGTGAAGACTGTTGGGCAAATCTCCTGACAGTGTTGAAAAGCAAGGAGGCTACTTGAAGCGCTCGGTTGCGCCTGACCCAGGCCAATGTTCCTCTTTTGCATGTGAAAGTCGGACGTTGAACAAAGGAGACTTGGTGCATTTGAATTACAGCGCTGGTGTAGAGCATTGAAACTATGTGGACCGCAGAAGGAGCAAACAAACCTGCCTTCGACAAGGACGTTCAAAACGCTCCTCAGATGTAAGTGTGGAGAGGCTTGGCCTCAGGTACTTTGGGCGTGTCAGGAGACACCAGTCCCTGAAGAAGGATTTGGCAAGACAGACAGATGGGCAGCCAAGAAGAGCAAGCCCATCAACAAGAGGGGCTGACCCAGGGGCTGCAACAGGGGGCTCAACCATGAGGACAGCTGTCAGGACGGTGCAGGAAGGGGTGGTGTTTTGGCACCCAAGCGCAGCCACAAATATATTGGAATCACCTCGGAAAAAGAAAGTGCCAAGGAACTGCCAAGTCTGCTTTGGGCCACGCACAGCCACAGCGCTCCTTAGGAGTGAGGATGGTGAGATTTCGTGGCAGGTGCTTTGGACATGTGATCGGAAGGGCCCAGTCCCTAGAGAGGGACAGGATGGTTAGTGGAGGAGAGGGTCACCAACACAGAGGAAGACCCTCGGCAAGATGGATCGACACAGCGGAGTCAGCAACACGCACGGATGCGGAGGGTGGAGCAGTTACAGGCAGCGCTTCCCTCTCATAGACGTGGGGCCTCTGTGAGTCAGAGGCAACGCGACGGAACCTAATGTTACCAGGGGGCGGCACCATGCTAAGCACAGGAAAGGCTGAGGTTATCAAGGGCCTCACCCTGCTTGAATCCACCAGTGGCTCTCTTGGAAGCGGCGGTCAAGCGACTGAACCATGGGTTACATTGGCTAAATCTGTGGTGGAAGACCTCTTTAGAGTGTTGAAAAGCAGGCGGGGTTGCTTTGAGGGACTAAGGTGTTCTGCATGGCCTCACATGCATGTGAAGGTTGGACACTGAGTCAGGAAGACGGGGGAAGAGTCGATGCATTGGCACGGTGGTGCTGGAGAAGAACATTGAAAGTACATGGACTTCCAAGAGGACAAACAGATCTGTCTTGGAAGAAGTACGGCCAGAGGGCTCCTTAGAGGCAAGGATGGGAAAACTTTGTTAGGCTCCCGCTTCCGCTGGAAGGGGTGGTACACCAAGGTGGGTGGTACACCTGGATTGGCCTATCTAGGCCAGGTGAATTTGATTCAGCCAATGGGGTTGACCAGTATCGGTGACCTCGCTTCCTGATGGGGGCCCTGAAAAGCCAGACGTTTGCTGTGGTGCGTGTGCTCGCTCAGCGGCTGGACACAGGGAGGCGTGGCCAGGCTGCAACCTGGGCCTCTGTCCTGCACAGTTGTGCTGCTTCTAACCTTTATAAAATGCCCTTGGATCACAAACCAGGCTTCTGCGTGAATTCTTTCTCGTGGGAAGCCAAGGACCGAGGTATAGCTCTCCCACGAGAGCTCTAACAACTTCATCTTACATACGTGGGACATGTTGTCAGGGAAGGACATCGTGTTTGGTAAAACGGAGGGGCATCGAAGGAGAGGAAGACCCAGGTGATTGACACCCACTGGCTGCATCAGCGGACTCAGGTGGAGGAACAAAGGTAGGGATGCAGCAGGACCAGACAGTGTTTTGCTCCGTTGTGCAAGAGGCCCACTCCTTGGCATCTAGCGACAGCAATGACAAAGGCCACTCCATCCCAAACAAATTCCTTCTCTGTCCCATCAGCGTGTTTGCTCAGCTGCCGGCGTCCAGGCAGTTCCTGGCGCCCCCGCCCCCGAATTCTCTTCGCTGGAGGTCAGGGAAAGACTGCCCTTCGAGGTCCAGTAGACAGACTCCAGCCTCCTCCTCCAGGCTGCCTCTGGCCACTCCCACCGACTCCCCTGGAGGGCGGGGTCTAGGATGGCCCACCTGCCACGCCCGTTGGCCCCGTTTCCACAGCCCATTTCAGGAAGTGCTGCCCAGAGCGGGTGACCCCAGGGCTGAATTTGTAGGCGGGAACGCCCTGGCCCCCTTCTTCTGTCTCCCGAAGGAAAGCACCCACTGTGGGGCCCCAGAGAGGTCCAGGGACTCCCGGGAGGAGCGACATGCATGTGGGGTGGGGGACCAACACCCCCAGAACAGAGGGGCCCACCTCTCGTCCTCCGCACCTGTCCTTCCCACCTGAGGCCCAGAGGCTCCTGCATGCCCCGAGGCTGCTCCCCGTGGCCCCACCCCGTCCTCGGACGGGCCGGCCCCCTGCGCCCGGCCCCTCCTCCCGGGGCGGGCTGGGCCCACGCGCCCAGGCCCTTAAGTCCAGGGGGCCCGCGGGCGCGCACCGATGGCGGGGTCGGCTGGGGACGCGCCGGAGACCGCGGGGGGCCAGCCGGGGGCCCCCCAGCCCCAGGCCCCGAGCGCGCCGCCCGGCTTCCGCGTCTACAGGCGCCGCTGGATCTTCCTGCTGGTGCTCAGCCTGCTCAGCCTGTCCAACGCCACGGTGGGTGGGCGCCCGGGGGCCGCGCGGGGGTCTGGGTGGGGACAGGTGGGGCGCTGCGCCCCTGGGCCAGGGCAGGGTCTGAGCAGGGGGGACCGCAGGCTGGGGCTCCTCCGAGAGCAGGCTCTGGGGCGCAGTCTCGGATGCAAGGTCCCCGGGCGGGGGTCCCAGCCACTGGACCCTGGAGAGGGGACTCTTCGGGGCGGGGAGGGGTGGGACCATGGGAGCCCGCTCCCTCCTCGGTCCTCATGGTCGCGGGGCGTCCTGCCCGGTCGGGCTCCTGGAGACTTGGAGTGACCGTTCGCGTCCCGGCGATTCATTTTGCTGCAATCAAAGCGCCGGTTTTTCCAAACACCCGGGCCCCCACCCTCCAACTTCTTTCTGGGCGCCCGGCCCGGGGACAGCCTGCGGAGGACATCAGGGCGGACAGCGCCGTCTCCCTGCCAATGGCTCTGGCGGCCGCTGGAGAAAGAGGCCATTCGCGTGTCCTGGCGGTGGCCGGGCTGACCCCCCAGCGCTGTAACCCGCAGTGGGTCCCGGATCCCGCCCCTGTGCGAGGAGGTGGGGTGTGTGACGTGTTGACCTCGGAGGAGGGTGCGCTGCCCAGGGCGGTCACTAGGGGGCTTGGGAAGGAGGTGTCAGAAATGACCCCGAAATCCCAAAGCTGCTAAAATGTTTGCGTAGTGTTTTGCCCGAATTAATTTTCGCTAAGAGTGTGTGGCTTCGCGGTTAGGAGTTGGAGTGCTAACCCCAGGGTCCGCAGTTTGAACCCACCGGCCTCTGTGAGGGAGAAAAACGAGGCTTTCTACTCCTGAGAAGAATTACAGCCGTGGAAATCCACAGGGCAGTTCTACCCTGTCCTGCAGGGAGGCTCGCTGCGAGTTGGCATCCACTGGATGGCACTGAGTGGGCTTGGTTTATCCCTGTGGTTAGAGATAAGCCCAACTTGTCAGGTTGCTAGGTGTGTGTGGGGTGGGGTGGGTGGGGGTTAGTTCTGACTTAGGGCAACCCCATGGGGCGCGGACAGAAACACTGCATGGTCTGGCGCTGCCCTCGCACGTGCTAACGTTTCAGCTCATTGTGGCCGCCACCACGTCCATCCGTCTGGCTGTAGGTCTTCCTCTGTCTTGCTGCCCCTCCACTTTATCCAGCATGGAGTTCAGCTTACATGTATCCGTTTAACAACAGGGTGGAGCACTCTGAACTCAGTTTCGTTTTCTGAATCGTCTAGTGCCCAGGTGACGCCCTGGGGTTCTGCTAACCTCCAGGTCAGCAGTTTGAAACCACCAGGCGGTCTGAGAGAGAAAGACAGACGTTTCTTCTTCTGCTCCAGGGAAGAGTTACAGTCTCCGAGACCCACAGGGAGTAGTTCTGCCCTGTCCTCTGGGGCTGTGGTGAGTCGGAACCCACCCGATGGCAGTGAGTGTGGTTTGGGTTTGGGATGCCCTGGTGGCACAGTGCGTTAGGTGTCTGGCTGCTAACTACGAGGCCCCCAGTTTGAAACCACCATCTGCCTTGAGGTGGAAGGATGAGGCTCTCGCTCCTGTAAAGATTGACAGCCATGGAAGCCCACAGGGGCTGTTCTACTCTGTCCTAAGGAGCCACGCAATAGTCTTGTAATTCAATGTAGAACCTTTTTTGACAAAGCCATTCTTGTTGTTGATATTCATTTAATCTAAGACATATTATATTCAAGCAAATGTATTCCATATGATCCCATGCATGTGAAAGTCAGGACATTGAATAAGGAAGACCAAAGAAAAATCGATGTATTTGAGGAACTATGGTGTTGGTGAAGAATGCGGAAAGTACCTTGGACTGCCAAGAAATACCCAAATAGATCTGTCTTGGCAGACGTCTGGCCAGGATGCTCCTTAGAGGCAAGGATGGCGAGACTACATCTCACATACTGTGGACGTGTGGTCAGGAGAGACCAGTCCCTGGAGAAGGACATCGTGTTTGGTAAAGTGGGGGGACAGTGAAAAAGAGGAAGCCCCTCAAGGAGATGGACGGAGTAGCCAAAACAAACCAAACAGTAGAACGGTTGTAAGGATGGCCCAGCACCGGGCAGTGTTTCCTTCCGTGGTGCAAAGTGCCTGGGTGTTGGAACCAGCTGGACAGCCCCATGAGAACAGCAACAACATCTGATCCAGCAGCCCTGGTGGGATGGTAGCTACACACTGGACTGCTCACCTCAAGGTCCACAGTTTGAAACCACCAGCTGCCCCTTGGGAGAAAGATGAGGCTCTCTACTCCCATAAAGAGTTACGGTCTCAGAAACCCATAGGGGCTGCTCTGTCCTGTAGGGCTTGCTATGAGTCAGCATCGGCTCCATGGCAGGGAGTTTGATCCTGTGATAAAATGCTAATAGCCATTACTAAGGGTTCTGTTTGGTCGGCTGTGGGAGGAAGCAGGGTGGGGGACACACCATGAATTACGAGATTGGGTGTCAGCAACTCTTCTGGAAAATTCCACTGCTGGGATGGGCAACTTGGGACATGGATGCTGCCCTCCTTTACAAACTCTGTCCCCACCAATCCCCCATCTCAGCTTGCACCCCCAGGGAGGTGGGTCCCTGCTGGGCAGGCCCACCCTCAGTCTGGCTTACCATGCTGGGGGGGTCTTCTCTGGGCTTCTGGCTTGGGGTCCTCACCCCCACCCCCACCCCCGCCATGCTACTCCTGCAAACTTCCTCCCCATTCCACCTGGGTCCTTCATGAGTGAGGGTCTCCCTGCGGACACCCTCACCCGCAGTTGATGTATTTCAGGTGGAACATAGTTGAAAGAACTAGAAACTTCCGGGAGGCCAGAGCCTAGTGCGGGAGGGGGGCTGGTAGGTGGACCAATGGGATTTAATTCTGAGTGTGAGGATCTGGTCCAGGGAAGGGACAGTGATTGGGGAAGGGGGTGGAGGTCCGGTGGCAGTGACAAGGCAGGGGACGCTGCGGGGACATTCCAGGAAGGCAGAGGACAGTGCTGTCCGTGGACTTTTGGGGTCAGCTTCTGGTCCTCTCTGGTGGGCAGTGTCTGTTTCTGAAACAGGGCAGGGAGGGGCTGAGCCCTGTGCCCTCTGACACTCTGGGTAGCCTTTATGTTTGCCCTACTACCACCACCACCACATCCTGCCTGGATCAATATCCCCTCTCTGGGCACATAACCGCCCCCACATCCTCTTTCTGCCCACCTGCCTGGTCTGCCCATCTGCCCATTAGCAGTAACACCCCCACTCCCTCACCAGTGAAGCCTCCCTTGACAAGCCTCCCCATGCAGCAGGGGTGGCCGGGAGCCTGCCGGCCCCCATTTGGTCTCCTGCTCCTGCCTGGGCTGTGGTGGGGACTTTACTTCCGAATCTGCTGGTCTTCCTGTTGGCCCCACACCTCCGGCACGCAGGGGCTGCGCCATTACTGCTTCCCCCGACAGTGGGGAATGGGGCGAGCAGCTGGGGTAGCCTGTCATGAAAAGCAGTGGGACCCACGGCTCACAGAGGTGACAAGTCCCTGCTGGACAGTCAGGGAAGGCAGGCCCGGGGCCAGGGACTGTGCAGGGCAGGCTCGGGACAGAGTCCGAGACTTTGCTGGGCCGGAGAAGCCCATTTCACGGGAGCATCTGCAGGCAGGTTCTCGGGCCCTGTCCATGCTTGGCTAGATTGGAGAGCCAGCCCTGGTGGGGACAGGCTTGTCACTGCAGGGCTGTGACTCTGGAAACTTCTGCCGAAACTGCCCTGGCCACCATAACTTCCTCATGTAGCCTGCCCACCCAGGCTATCTGAGCCACTGGCCCAGCGTCCCTGGCTTGGGTGGTGTGGTTTCGGGAGGTGGCCCTGGACCATGGGTTCTCCTTGCACCCTGAGTTCCTTCAACTGGTCTCAGCCAGTGGTCCTGGGTGGGGGGTGGGGGGGTGGTGGGCGGGGGGGGGGTGGGGGGGTGGGCGGCGGCAGGGGTCTCACGACATTCGAAAGACTGGGCAAGTCTTCGAATGAAAAATCTATGCTATGATGCTGAACCAGGAGAAAGATGGGGTTGCCTACTCCCGCAAAGAGCTGCTGTCTCGCGGACGGTGTAAAATATGAAAATAAAAATAATGTATAAATTATCAAGGGTTCACAAAGGCGGGACGGTGGGAGAGGGAGGGGGAAAGAGAGGAGCTGATACCAAGGGCTCAAGTAGAAGGAAAATGTATTGGAAAGGGTGATGGCGATATATGTGCTCATGTGCTCGACAAAATGGATGTATGGATTGTGATAAGAGCTGTAAGAGCCCCCAAGGAAATGATTTATTTAAATAAAAAAAAGAGTGAGAGTTGCAGTCTCGGAAACCCACAGGGGCAGCCCTACCCTGTCCCGGAGGTCGCTGGGAGTCAGCATCGACTTGAGACAGCAGTGAGTGCGATAGGGAACACCTTAGGCGTCTGGGCTAAGGTGAGCTTGGGAGAAAAGCCTGGTGACCCCCTTGCACCAATCAGTCAGGGAAAGTCCAGCGGGCCCCAGCAGTCCCATCGTGAGCACAGCGCAAGGCTGGACCCTGGTGCCTGGGTCTCCACGGCTCACGGCTGTCTCTACCACAGCAAGCCCCACGCCCAGGACCCTGGTCCTCCCTGTGCAGCCCGAGGTGCCAGGGCGCCGGCCTGCGGGAGTGGCAGTGGGAGGGACCAGCCAGTGCCATGCTGGCAGCGTGATCTGGGTCCCAGGAGATGTTGCTGGAAGGCACCATGAGTCAGTTCTGACCCCGGGCGACCCGCACACAACAGTGAAACACTGTTAGGTCCTGCCCCATCCTCACCAGGGTTCCTGTGCCCGAGCCCATTGCTGCAGCCACCACGTCCGTCCATCTCCCGGAGGACCTTCCTCGTTTTCATCCCCCCTCCGCTTGACCGAGCACGATGTCCTTCTCCAGCGACTGCTCTCTCTGACGACATGTCCATGCCGCTAAAGAGCTCTCTGGCCGGACTTCTTCCAAGATAGATCGGGTTGTCCCTTTAACACAGTGGTTCTCAACCTGTGGGTCAAGACCTCTTTGGGGGGTCGAATGACCCTTTCACAGGGGTTGCCTAAGACTGTGGGGGGAGGTCAGATGCTCAGGCATTCCCCCCCTGAAGGCAATCAGTTGCCAGACTGCTGCCTCATTTCACCACCTGGGTGGGCCTGCTCCCTGCCCCTGGGGACAGTGGACAGGCTCCTGTGGGCGGAGTTCGCATCCTACTGAGAATGGTCTCTATCAGTTGGGCCAGGGACAGACCAAACCGGCTGTCCCTCCTCTTCCTATAGCATGTATGTCCCTAGATCACCCCCTCCCATCACTGTAATACCTGTAGCAAAACCCTTTCCTGTGACGTATGTCTTCGCCTGTTATGTGGGGGTTTGCACGTCCCCAACGTCCCCAGAGAGTATAAAAGCTTGGGGAGCATTAAAGCTCTCGCTCTCTCCATGTGGACCAACAAGCGGGGCTGAGGTGAGCATGCTACCATAAAGTGTGTCTGACTCCATTTATTTCTATATCTCTCTTTTATCTCTCATGCTCTCTATAACTTTACTATAATATTTACTTATTCTTGCTGTACAATTGTGCCTACCGAACCCGTAGTGATTGTGCTAGGAGCTGGCTTCTTCTGGCATAAGACCATCAGAAAACACATATTTCCGATGGTCTTAGGCACCAAGACACCGCTCCTCTATCCGTCTCCAGGCGGGTCCGCCCACATGCAGATACACCCACCTATGAGTACCCGGTGTGAAGACTGTGACCCACGCTACACCATGCTTCAAGACAACATTTCATTGATTTGTCATCAGGACTAAATAGTTCACAATGTAGAATGACCTATTGTTTTGTGAAGAATCACTATGCCTTCATGATGCTCAATTTGTAACAAACAAATTATATCCTGCCTCTCAGATAGTACACGATGATTCGTAACAGTAGCAAAATGTCAGTGATGAAGTAGCAACGAGAATAATGTTATGGTTGGGGGGGGGGCACCACCGCAGGAGGACCGGTATGAAGGGTGGCGGCGTCAGAAAGGTTGCGCGCCACCGTCTTGGCAGTCCCTGGTACTTTCCGGGTTCTTCTCCAGCACCGCCATTCGATGCTTCTACAGTCGTCCTTACTCGGTGCCCAGCGCTCCGCGCGTGCGCACGGGAGGTGATGGACGGGACCCCGGCTGGGCTCGGGTGCGCCTCAGTCCTCAACACGCTGAAGCGGTCTGTGCGGCAGGTGTACCGACCTCCTGCAGCATGTCCTTTGATCTGCTGCTTTTCTGAGCGCGGATTGTGGAGCCGAGCCAGATGGAATCCCGTGGGGTTGGGGGCGGTGCGGGAGCCATCAGTTCGCCCTAATGGGCAACTCTAGGAGCCGGTGAAGGATGGATCAGGCAGATCAGGACTCTAGTCCCACCTTGCCCGACCCTTCTCTGCCCAGTCGGACCAGGAGCAGGGGCTCTTCAAGGGACCCACGCCCCCTCTGCCGATTGGCTGCGCTGCAACCAGGGGGCCTGTGTGAGGCCCCTCACCCTACTTGCGGTGGGCAAAGGAGGAAGGACGGGCCGCTCGGTCCTCACTGTGGGTCCTGCGTGAGTGTCAGGGTTGCGGACGGACTAGGAAGTGCCACCTCTGCTTGGGCACAGCTTCGGACAACCAGCCCTCGTTCCTCCAGGTTCAGCAGAGGCCTTGACTGCACACCTGGTCCTTGGCTCTGTGTGGCCTCCTCCCTCCCTCCCTGGTGCTGCTGGGACAGAAATACTTCCAGAGGGCAACTCATGCAGGCAGCCTGACCCTGGGCTCCGAGGCCCAGGCTGGGGCTCACCAGGTCAGAGCCAGGCTGTTTGGCGGCCACCCGGTGCCCCACAGGGCGCCACCCCCGGCTGACCCCCTGCCCTGTCTGTGCCCCCAGCTGTGGCTGAGCTTCGCGCCCGTCGCCGACACTGTCGCCAAGCGCTTCTCCCTGTCCATCGGGCAGGTCAACTGGCTCTCGCTGGTCTACCTGGTGGCCTCTGTCCCCTTTGGAGTGATGGCTATCTGGTTTCTGGACTCCATTGGGCTCCGTGGTGCGGTGAGTCTCCAGCCCCACGCTGGCGTGGTCACCAACTCTGCCAAGGCCCAAGACCCTGGACCCTCCTCCCCACCCACCCCTACCCCTGGTAGACAGCTTCCTGGCAGGGCCACAGGGCAGCTGGGAGGGTAAAAGTCAGTATTCAGCACCCCAGAGGAGGCTGGGCAGGCTCGGATGGGGGTCCCCTACACTCGAGGTAACAGATGGCGGGGGGTGTGTGTCAGGAGTTTGTGAGGGAGGAAGGAGTCGGAGGGCTGGTACTCAGAGGAGCATGGTTGAGGGAGGGTCTAAAGACAGGGGTGTGCCTGGCAAGGGCAGGGGTCAGGCCAGTGGGGCAGGGGGCACTCCCAGAGCAGGTGAGGCGGGAGACCCTGTGAGGGATGAGGCAGTCGGGAGGGGCCTGGACATGGGGACGGTGGGGAGAGGTGGAGAGTGATGTGGAAGGGGAGGTGAGGGCCAGATGTGCTATCCAGGAGGGTGCCTACCCCCTGCCCCCCACCCCCCTCAACTTCAGAGATGCGAAGGCCCAAGGGGCACAAAAGGCCCAAGGGTGGTTCCAAATTTCTCCCAGGCAGCTCCCCCAGTGGCCCCTCCACCTCCATCTACTCCCACCCACCGGCCCGTCCCCCATGGAGACCACGAGGGACAGCATCAGGTCCTAGGCACTCTGTCCTGGATGTGGAAAGCATGGAGGAGTCGGGTCCTGTGAGCAGGTGGCCTGGGCAGTGCGTTGTCCTTCCCACGCTCCACAGGGAGACCCGGAGGGAGACCAGGAGGGACAGCTCCAGGTCTGGGCACTCTGTCCTGGCCGTAGGACCGGGAGGAGTCCGGTCCTGTTAGCAGGGTGGCCTGGGCAGTGTGCCATCCTTGTCCGTCCGTCCCTACAGACCATCCTGAGTGCCTGGCTCAACTTCCTGGGAAGCGGGCTGCGTGCTCTGCCCGGCGCCCGCGTCTCGGTCCCGCCCCCGTTCTTCTACCTCATGGCCGGACAAAGCCTCTGTGCCCTGGCCCAGACCCTGGTCATCTTCTCACCAGCCAAACTGGCTGCCCTGTGGTTCCCTGAGCACCAGCGAGCCACAGCCAACATGATCGCCACCATGTGTGAGTCCCAACGGTGGGGCGGGGGGCGGGGGGTGCCTCACTCCCTTCCTCCACCCCCCTGACCCCACCACTGCCGCAGCTTCCCCCCACACTGAGACTGGGGAGGTCCTGCTGGGAGCAGGCAGACCTGATGCTGGTCTGTCCATCCTTCTGTCCATCAGCGAACCCCTTGGGCATTCTCCTGGCCAATGTGCTGTCACCTGCTCTAGTCAAGAACGAGGATGACATCCCGTTGATGGTGAGTGCGGCCAGGTGTGTGCGTGTGCGCATGTGAATATCCACATCTATGCCTGGGAGCATGCACCTGGCCATCTCGGCGAGCATGGGCACACACCCAGTCCCCCTGTGCAGACACTGGGGTGGGTGACACGTGATGCATGGGGCTCTGTGTGTCTGTGTGAGTGCTGGGGCCTTGCAAGGCACAGTGCTTGGGGGTTCGGTTCCCTGGGGAAATGAGTCTACAGGGGAGGCTGGAGGCAGCAGTGGGGAGCGTGCTGGTGACCAGAGTCAGGGAGGAAGAGGGGCCAGCAGAAGCCGGGACCCTGAAATGTCAGTAAGCTTGAGGATTCAGAACTTCAAAGTGAAGGTCAGGGAGGCTGGAGCCCCGTGAGCAAGATGAGGGTGAGGGTAGCAAAAAAAACCAACAACCAAAAAACCCAACAGGTGTCAGGAGTGGGGTTTTGCTCCGTGGAGGAGGGTGTGTGCAGGAGACTGAGTGTTTCTGGCACAAACATGGACTTGGGGGCCAGGGAATGTGGGCTGGGCATGTGGACGGGAGGCTGCAGACCCAGGGAGCGGTGCCAAGGTTGTGGTTGAGGTGTAGGGAAGCCGTGGGCAGGGAGTGCTACGCTACACAGTGTAGGTAGAGCTGATGGTTTAGAGGTGCAGGGAGGGAATCGGGAACCAGGTGGATGAGTGTAGGTGTCTCAAGCTGAGACTGGGACAGGAGCAAGCCGGGGTGCCATCCGAGAGGCTCAGAAGTTCCCTTTGAGATGAGCTCGGTGTGACTGGCTCACGGTAGGACAGGAGATGGCCAGTGAGTCATTGGTAACAGAATTGTTTGCAATGAATTGTCTCTGTTTCCAAGGCATGAGAATTGAGGTAAACACAAAGCTGGTTCCCACGAGGTCGAAGTTCTTTCCTCTCGGCTTCTCCAGCGAAACCCTGCAGGGCCTTTGCCGCTTCTCGGCAGGGTTTGGTCATTCGTTGCCACAGATGCCACTCAGTGTTGTGGCTGATTAGGGAAGTATCAGGCTACAGGACGGGGTCGGGGTGCACGTGTTAACAGAAGTGACCCGGGATCCGGAAGCTCACAAGCATGGTCTCCTCTGTGCATGGCCAGGATCAAAAAGCTCACGGAGCAGACATGGCCCACACTGGAGCAGACAAGACCTCCTGCACGGGTCACTGAATGTGGCTTCTCTGCTACTGACCGGCCCAGCTCATAGCCTTTGGAGCAGCCAGCTCAGCTTTCTCCTCTTCTGTTCCTCTCTGCGACGCTGGGCTTCTCCATCGCTAACCAGCCCAGCCCAGCTCACAGCTTCAACAGCAGCCAGCTCAGCTCTCTCAACTTCCCTCTTCTGCCGGGCCTCACTGTAGCCAGATCTCAGCATCATTGGCCTCTCTGCTGATAACCGGCACAGCTCACAGCCAGTGTGGCGGCTTCACGATCACTCCGTTTCCACCTGGCTCTGCTTCTCTTAGCCAGCATCTCTCTCAACCAGGAGACCCAGAAGATCCCAGCATGCATCACTTGTAAGATGGGGCCTCCCTTGCCAGACCAGAGTTCCACCGATCTTTGGCTCTCCGTGAGATCATGTCCATCGACTCGGAACTTGTATAGAAGCGATATTTTCTGCTGCCAGAGACCAGCAAAACCAGCCATCATTTTAGGGTAGAAAGCTACATGGGAGGAAGTTGCAGGTCCCCTTGTTCCCAGTAACCTCTCTCAAGAACTGGAGCAGGGCGAAGTGCCTCAAGGGTTGAGGAATGCTCCCACACTATTTTCTAAGAACTAGGCAGAAGGGCGCACACAGGCCCTCCCTGCACCACTCTGCCGTATGGGCTTGTCTGGGGCCCTAGGGAAGGTCAGGTTATGAGGGTGGGGATCCTCAAGAGGAATCCTGAAAGCCACAGTTCCACATGCAAGCACTCACCTGGAGAACAAGATGGGGAAAGCAGGGCAGAGCGTTAGTCCCAGGTCCACCACAGCAGCCAGCCGGGGAGGACGGAGACGATGGTGGGCAGTGTTGTCATGGAAACCCAGCACAGGTGTGTGAGGCAGCTGTGCATATAGATGAATGTGCGTGCGCCTTTGTACCTGTGTGCACCCAGACGTGTGTGCACAGGTGTTCACACGTGCATACCCTCCCACCCCAACCCCCCAGCTCGGCATTTATGTGATCCCTGCTGGCATTGCCTGCCTCCTGGCCACCACGTGCCTCTGGGAGAGTGTACCGCCCACCCCTCCCTCAGCCGGGGCTGCCAGCTCCACTTCGGAGAAGTTCTTTGCTGGGCTGAAGCTGGTCAGTGCCATGGGCCCTGTGCTGGGAGGATCCCAGGAGGGGGGGCGGTTGGGGAAGCTCCTGCTTGTCATGACACCAACAGGAGCCCCATGGGTGGCCCCCAGGCTGAGCTGTCCCCGTCCCTCCTCCGCCCACTCCCGACCCCCAGCTGGTGCTGAACAAGGCCTACATCATCCTGGCGCTGTGCTTCGGGGCTGCTGTTGGGATTTTCTCCGCCTTCTGCGCCCTGCTGGAGCAGATCCTCTGTGTGCAGGGCTACTCCAATGTGAGTGTCTCTCCCCGGCCACCCAGCCCTCCCCAGACGCCCAGGGTCCACACCTCAAATGGGGACAGTGTTGATGCCCTTTGGCTGCCAGGGTGTCATTGAGTCCTGCAGACGGTGGCGGAGGAAGCGGTGTGGGTGGTCATGGTGATGGGGTGAAGGTCCTGGCACCCTTGAGGATGGGAAGGAAGAAGGATCCTAGTAGCGGGGGCAGGGACAGAGGAGCTGCTGACGGCAGTGCTGATGGCCCAGGGATGGGGTGGGGTCCTGGTGCCCTTGGGGTTAGGATGACATGGGAGGCACGGTTCTGGGGGCCAGGGATATGGCGGTGGCGGAGGTAACCATGGACCAGGATGGTGGAAGTGGTTCTAGATGGTGGTGCTGGGGGCAGGGTGGTGGAGGAGGAGCTGTCGGTGGCCATGGGGAGGGGTGGAGTCCTGGTTCCCATGGAGATGGGATGAAGGAGGAGGTGTGGTCCTGGTGGCAGGGTCTGGTGGTGGCAATGGTAACTGCAGGGGTGGACCCTCGGTGGTTAGGCTGGCGGTGCTGATGAGGGGGCACGGTGGTGGTACTTGTCCTCCTTACCGGTCAGGCTCCACCCCTGGCAGGTCTCAGGGGAGGGGCCCTCCTCTGATAGTTGGAGGGGAGGCCACAGAGGGTCTGTGGAGGGGAGGCCCCAGCTCTGTTCACTGCCCTTCCGTCATCTGGAGTCATCGCCGGTCCCCACACGAATGCTGCCACCTCCTCTGGGGCAGCCACAGTGACCACACCCTCTCCCCTTAGCCTGGAGGCCCATCTTCCCCCAGCAGTTGTTGGGTGAGGGGCTAATACGGCAGAGGAGAGACCTCCCCACCTGCACGCCTGGGTGTGGAGTGACCGGGGTACAGTGGGGTCCTTCCTGGGCCTCTGGTGCGTCTGAAGGGTCCCAGCTAAGCGGCCTTCCCCGGGTGCCCCGGCCCCCTCCCCCAGGATTTCTCTGGCCTCTGTGGGGCCCTCTTCATTGTGGCTGGCTTCCTGGGGGCGCTGGGTCTGGGCCTGTATGTGGACCGAACCAAGCATTTCACGGAGGCCACAAAGATCGGCTTCTGCCTGATGTCCATGGCCTGTGTGGCCTTCTCAGTGGTGAGTATCCCCCACCCCCGGTCTGAGGCCACCCCTGCAGGGGCTCCCAGGTGGGTGGGAGGGCCAGGCTGGGGCCGCTGGGGCGCTGCTCAGCCGGCCCTCTGACCTCAGGGCTGGTCCTGGGAGGCCTGCAGCCGGAGCGGGGGCTCCAGCACACACACGGTGCTCCCCCACCCACTGAGGTGGTTCCCCCTCCAGGTGTCCCAGCTGCAAGGACAGGCCATCTGGCTGGCCGTTGTCTGCTTTCTGTTTGGTTTCTTCGGCCTGTCCATCGCGCCCGTAGCCACGGAGCTGGTTGTGGAGTGCTCCTTCCCCGTGGGCGAGGGCGCCTCCACGGGCCTGGTCTTTGTGCTAGGGTGAGTGACCGGGCACCCCTGGGCCCCGAGGCATTAGGACCAGCACCATTTCTCGAGCGCCAGCACGTGCGTGCGCACCACACTGCTTAGCTCCAGGCCTTGTGGCCCAGTACCTGCTCGCTGACCGCACAGCTGCCCCGCCCCCATGGTGGTGTCCAGGCTGGTGGGGGCTGAGTGTCTCCTGTGTGTGTCCAGGCAGATTGAGGGCACACTCATCATGGTGCTGCTGACTGCGCTGACCGTGCCCCGGAAGGGGCCCTCCTTCTCCACCTGCCAGCATGGGGAGGCCCCACTGGACTGGACAGGTGAGCCCACTCAACTCTGAGCCCCTCTCTTGGGAGTCGGCATTGCCCCCAGGATTCCCAGTGTGGGCCAAGCCACAGCGAGCAGAGCTGAGGGCGGCGGGGGTCCAGTGACAGTCAGAACAAGGCCCTGTCAGCGTCCAGCTCCCCTCGGGCCCTCAGCGGCCTCTCCCTCGGGTGCTGGCTGCAGGCTCCTGTGAAGGGTGGGTGGGCAAGGCACACAGGAGGGTGGTTGGGGTGGACATCAGGCCCTGCTGAGCCCCAAGGCAGGGTCCAGGAGGGCTGAGACAGAGAGATGGAAACGGAGATCAGAGATAAAAAGAGAGATCAGAGAGACAGGGTGGAGACACTGACCAGAGACAGAGAGATCGGGAGAGAAAAGGAGAGAGAACAGAGACAAAGATCAGAGAGTAAGAGACCAGAGAGAGAGATCAGAGAGAGAGACAGGGTAGGAACACAGATCAGAGACAGAGATACAGGATGGGGACAGAGACCAGAGATAGAGAGATGGAGAGAGAGATCAGAGAGATGGAAACAGATTAGAGACAGAGAGATGGAGAGAGAGAGAGACAGGGTGGGAACACAGATCAGAGACAGAGATACAGGATGGGGACAGAGACCAGAGACAGAGAGATGGAGAGAGAGAGACAGGGTGGGAACACAGACCAGAGACAGAGAAACAGAGACTGGAGACAGACAGATGGAGGGAGGGAGGGAGAGGGTGGGGGGTGAGGACAGAGACAGGGACTGTGTAGGCCTTTCTGCCCTGGAGCGAGGGCCCAGTCCAGGCTGTGGAAGGCTGTGGGAAGGGGCCGTTTCTGGGTGGCTGCGCGGTCAGGTGGGTCAGGGAGCGGGGGCTGTGTGACCGTGTGACACGCAGTGTCCCTGCAGTGCCGCTGTTGGTGATGGCTGCCCTGTGCACCGCGTGCAGCTGTGTCTTCGTCATCTTCTTCCACACCCCGTACCGGCGCCTGCAGGTGGAGGCCAACGCCAGCCCCTCCATCCAGGAGGTCACCGTCCCTCCGTGGCAGTCGCACCCCCAGCCCCCCGCCACGCACCCACAGCCGGTTCTGCAGTCTGTGTAGGGGAGCAAGCTGCCAGGGAAGCAAGCTGCTGCTTCACTGGCCACAAGCCCCACCAAGCCCAGGACCCCAGGGTCGAGGCGGCCCACCAGGTCCACCAGCGGAGGGTGCAGGCTGCCAGGGACAAGAGGCAGACTTTTCTGACACAGAACTTGCTGGAAGCCTGGCCTGGAAAGGCAGGGCACACCCTAGACGGCCGCCCAGAGCCAGGGGCAGGGGCCAGCTCCCTGTGGACTCCCGGGGACGCCCAGCCCACGATGGCCTCAGGATGAGGACACACTGTGGCTGCAGCCATGGGGGCCGGTTCTAGTGGGACCTAGAGAGATCAATGGATGCCTTGGTGGACAGCATGGACCTGGGGGGCGGGGCCCTGGGAAGCTGGATCTGGGGGGCAGGGGCGGTGTAGAATCTGGTATGGACTGGGCTTCCAAGGGCCCGGCTGGAAGGATCTTGTCCCAGCCCCCTGGGTGTGTGTGTGCGCGGAAGATCCGGCGAGGAGCGCTCCCCTACCACCCCTACTCCGCCAGGCACACGGCAAGCACAGGTTTGTGGGAGCGCGTTTATTGAAGGCCGGAGCTCACTCCTCCTTCTCCTCCCCGTGCGTGATGACGTAGCTCAGCGCCTTGTAGTCCAGGTTGCCCGCAGCATCCACAGAGGCGAACTGCAGCATCTGGTCCACCTGTGCGGGGAGCGGAGGGCGGGGCGTCAGGCGCCGGGGCGGGTCTGGCCCAGGAGGGTGGGGACGGGCGATTCTGGGAGGGGTCCCTGAAGAGCCCCCAGGGGCTGGATGGATTGGGGAAATACAAGCTTGGAACTGCTGTTGGCTCAGCAACCCCTCTTTGTGGGTGGTGTGGGGTGGTGGTGG